AAAACAAGCGACAACGGTGGTGCGCGGTTGTTGTAGACAGATACTACTCTTCTATTCTCCTTGCAATCGAGCTGCTGAAGATGAACGTTTACGTTATTGGTACTATCATGGTCAACCGTCTCGGGCTGGACAAGAACCTCCAAGTAAAGAGAGCAACGCGCCCGGCGAACATTCCACGCGGCACGTTTACCTTTTCACGTTCGGTTGCAATACCATCCATGATTGCTTTCCACTGGTGGGACCGCAAGCCGGTCCACTACCTGTGTACAGGCGCAACGATGGCGCCGTCATCGATTGAGCGGAAGGTGAAGCAGGTTGGGGCAATTACGGTGCCATGCCCAGCCGCCGTAAACGACTACCAAGGTTGGATGGGTGAAGTTGATGTGCATGATCAGCTCCGCCTCCAAGCCTACTCGCTCCAAACATCTACTAAGTTCAAGAAATATAATAAAAGCCTATTCTTAGGCTTCGTCGATCTCGCGTTAGTCAATGCCTACATCTCCCACACCGAGGCTGCAAAGATAGCTGGTATACCAGCTATGAAGCGTCGCGAGTGGTACGGCGTCCTCCAAAACCAGCTCCTTCAACTGAAGGCAGAAGACTTCACCGGTGTAGTCGCAACGCCACCACCTTCAGCGCAGAAACGTAAGCGTACCCCGCGGCTTACACATGTCTTGGAGCAGTGTGAGGACTGGGTGACGGTCTCCAATGTGCAGAAGCGTCGCCAGCGCTCCTGCAAGGTGTGCGCGTTGTTGAGAATCGACCGCAAGAAGAAATCTTACGCGACAACCTTCTATTGTGAGCGCTGTTCGATCGATGATGCCAAGTGTTGGCTCTGCAACAAGATCCGGCGAGAATACAAAGGGGTGGCGAAGACGTGCTTCGAAATCTGGCACGACGATTTTGATGCCGGCCAGAGCATACCGTCGAACTTGGGGAAGCGGATTGTGCTGCGGCGACCCGGACAAGAAGCAGGAAAACGGCAGAAGACTCGCCGAGAGATCCAGCTGCGAGGTGACGAAGCCGATGATGAGGCTGAGTAGCGTAGCAAAGACGAGTGCGAACTTGATGAGTCCTTTGCTCGTAATGCACAGAACCTTGAATCAATGTGTTTTCTACGTTTCGTGTTTGCAAATGACAGGCCAATGATCGGACTTTCTTTTCTAGTCAGTGCTGGCTCGTGGTAAGTTACGACATACATAGCTGAATAATGCAAACAAAGTTTTATAAGTTACTTCATTGCACGAAGGACCTGTTGACAGCTTATACCCCATCCCCTAGGGCTTTCTTTGCCCCATACAGTTATTCAGCTCCAGCACTAAGTCGTAAGATACGACGTACAATAAGCCGTCCGGTAGTGAGGCAGGATAAGTACACCGAAATAGCCCCGTCTCGCTCGCTACATTGTACCACAAGTTGTGGCACAACGTGCTTGAGTCAGTGTAGATTCTACGCGTGAACTCTACACTGTAGAGTTCACGCAGTGGTCTACCTTTTCCACATGAGATCGCACCAGAACGCTAACATCCATGCCACGAATCTTTCAAAAATTCAACCTGCCGATGCCCCTTTACAGCTAACACGACCCGAATTTAAAGATGGATCTTCCTGTCCTCCGTATGGAGAATGTTTTCGTGAATAAATCATTACATGTACCAAGATGTAAGCAGGTCGAGTACCAAAAGCGAGGTTTCATGCACAGACCTGATACCGAGGTTAGCTATTTTTGGGGTCGTTTACGGGTAGGGCCTGATAATTGGGTCAGGCGGGTTTCCTGACGGCCCTACCAAACACAGGACCAATTGCTAAGCTACATATTGAAGTGAAAGATATGAAGCTAAGCAGTTGGGTTAAAATGCTTAGACCACGATGGTCTGCGCGGCACGAGGTTCGTCGGCTTCAGTGTCGCATTCATCGGCATCACTGTCATTGCTGATCACATCTGCGCCCAAATTCGTAGCAGCAGCGTCCCCTTCGCTGCTAGTACCAGAGACGCCCTCGTTGTCATCATCACTGTCGACATCTACAGCCTCGTCATCTTCTTCACTGCTCGATTCTTCTTCTTATGTAGGAGGATCCTGTTGGAAATGGAACCTGACCCAATAATCAGGCCTGACCTGTATACGACCCCGTTAAAATTCTACCGATACTCGACCGATACGACGACCCAGCATACAACAGGAAACTTTGGTTGGGGAAAAAGCACCTGTGCGACCGTGGTCGAAACTCCTTGCTCTGGCGACCAGAGCTCGACCGGCAACCGGGGGAATTCTGGTACAGATGCCACTCAGCAGACGTCGAACAGTGCAACTACAGCAGGGACGTCGAATTGGGGAACAGCCGGTACTTCAGGCTGGGGAACCTCGCCAGGGGGAGCCACGAGCGGTACCCGCGGCACTTCGGGTGGTGTCGCGGCGACGAGCACTTCGACCGGCACCGAACAGCATACCAGCGGGATCGACACGACCAACACTGATTCAACTGGAACTTGGGGAAGTATCAGCACCACCGAGCAAACCGGCACAGTGACTGCAGCGGGCGCCAACGGGCACTACCGGAGACTCCACCCATCCGACGTCCAGCACTTGGGGTGTGACGGACAACGCCGAAGCACCGTGCTCAGGCTCGTCCGACACCACGCCAGCAGCGTCAACGGGTACGTGGATCGAGGTCACAAACAGTCCGACAACCGGCACGGGCACGAAAAGTACTCCAGGCAAGACCGGCACGTCGACGACAGCCGCGTCCGCAACGTCGTCAACCTCAGAGACCGCGACATCGGCCACCACGGCCCCGACAACTACAGCTCCTGTCACTACGTCGCCGGCCACCACTGCCCCGACAACTACAGCACCCGCCACTACATCGCCGGCCACCACTGCCCCGGTAGCGACAACTGCCGCTCCGTCAACTTCTTCGAGCACTTCGGACACTACTACGTCCACGACGACGAGTACTGGCAAGACTGGTTTGTCCACCATAACACTGGCATCCTCCGGCACGTCGACCAGCTCGGACGAGTCCACCACGCAGCAATCGGCCATGCAGCAGTCGGCACGTCGCCGCTCACTTCGCCAGTAAGCAGTCTTCTCAATGTCGGCACCTTCTGCCACTCGCTCCTTCGGTGTAATGCTCAAGAGCCTTCACGAACCTCCGGAAGCGCTCACCTCCGTTCGATTTCCCAGTGTCGTAACCTGTGTAAATCCATGTTTTCACTCGATCATGTTCTTCATACTACCCCTTCTTAAGCAGCTACAGACGACGCTCCAGCCCCCCCCCAAGCCATGCACTTGCGTGTCGTACTTAGTTACCCTCTTGGCCACGGCAGGACCCTCATTCACTGTCGCGGTTTCTCGTTTCCCTGCTCGCCTTGTTTCTTCTTCCACGCATGGCAGTCGGGTTTGATATGCTCTGGTTTCTTGCAGTAGAAGCACGTGCGAGTCTCTTTACCGCCTTTTGATTTCGTGCCGGGTTTGAAGCGAGTGAGGGTCAGCTCCACCAATTTTCGGTGTCAATATTCCTTATAAATGTGAAGAACCACCAATCGTATAGACCGACCCACACACATAGAAAAAGGCATCATAACCAAACAAAAAGTGTTCTGAACCATCAAAATAGATATTTATCTTTAATATGTCTTCCGTTTTGTAATTAAAAACGGCAACACTAGGAAGCAGCTCATAAACAATCATTGCAGCTCGTAACGACTAAAGCCAATGAGCGAAGGGCAAGACAGCGACTCGGAAGGCAAGAAGAATGGGATTCTGGCGCTGACGACAACGAAGTATCGCGAAAAGAGCGAAATAAAATATATTTTAAGATTTGCTCTGCAACATGTACATGTACTGTCTTGATTTTAGAGTGTAGTAAACTTTGTGGCTGCATGGAGGTATGCATTTTTCGATGAAGCGCCTCATATGCAAAAACCTCAACCAGCAAGTTGGTGAGTGCAAACACCTCAACACCGCGCGCATTACTCGAAACGTCCTATTGAATGGCAATCATGTTTCGAAAAAAAATATGCTGCACTTCCGCAGCGGAAACAATACCCTCTTACAGGGTCCTAACTGTAAATTTTTGTTTAGACATTGGGACCATCTTCAACCTTTACATGTACTAAAGTTTCGTTGAGCTGTGAGAATTTAACCTTTTTTTCTACATGTATAAAACATGCCTAGATGCGGCGTAGCGACTTGAGTTGCAAACACTCTGGCAACACTTGCTCGCAATACTTTTTTCAAGTATTGCCAGCAGTGTTGAAGCGAAATTTGTACACTGTAGAGCTCAGGTTCAACGCTTTTTTTATCAGCGGTGCTGTTAACGATTATTTCGCTGCGCGTCAACAAGCTCGTTTTCGATGGACGATAAAACTACATGTACAGAAGTCCCCTGAATAAGTAGCAAGGAATTCATATACCCCTTTATATCAGATCACATGGATTGGGAAACATTGAACAAATCACACGAGCGCTGAGAATTCCCTATGCAAATTAATCAGACGACGTCTACGCTTATTGAGGGAGACTTCTGTACAATATCCAAGGTGAGGTAAGTACTTTCGCCTGGAACGCTAAATATTCGACTACCATATCTCGTCAAATCGGCATCAGCATTACAGTGATCAGCGAGAGTGTCTCGGAGACACTGTCTCCCCCTTCCCTTCGGTTGTTGAGTTGTCTTGCTGTCCGTTGGGGGTCTGATTCTCCTGTTGCTTCGACTTGCTCCGTTTCCTTAGTGTCGCAGCATTTCTAGAAACTTTAACGTTGTTCCCATGAGGAGACTGAGAAACTTCTGATAAAATATCGACGTGGAGGCTCAAGTAAGCTACTGCAAAGTGGGTACGTCTAGGAAGAGAGGACACGCACCTGGTTTGCTTGGTGTCGGCGGTTTCGATGTCTTACCGCGCCGGCGTTGTGAGTAGTCGAACGCTAAAGTCATCAAATGAATCGCCTCTTCAGTGGCAATCACAGCCTCACGCTGCGGTAAACATCAGCGAACAACTATAAGATAACGAAGTCTAGAGCTGTTCTTCGTACCATTCCATCGACTTGCGAGACCATATTCTGGTATTTGGCCTCCAGGTAGTTGCACTTGGCGTGTGTAGACCGCACTTCTTGCTCCAACATCTCAATCTTCAGCTCTCGATCTTCACGTATCCTCCGTTCAGTGTCAAACTCCTTCTTCAGCTGTCATTTAACCAACCATACATATAAGCTCAGTGATAACCTGATAAAAGGTTAACCTTTTACCGTACCGTATCAATTCTGCGAGTTAACTCTAGCCCGACCTCCAAAGATTTATAGCAAACATCTCCAAGGCGGGTCTCCGCATCCGTCTCCTCCTCTTCTTCTTGTTCTCTCTCTGGCTCGATTTCCTCTCGCTCCTGTGTATTTTCCTGCTTCAGCTTCATCGCTGACCCTGTCCTCGTCACTCTGGGCGACTTGCTCCTCTTCTGTGGGCTCTGCCAATTGCGTCTCTCCGTCTCGGTCTCTAGTTGCCACAACATCTTCTCTAGCACCTCCAGCTCTGTCTGTAAAGTAGCTTTATGGTTTGGATGCATCCTCTGCTCTTGAAACGACACGGTAGTGGCTCTCGCTGCTCGGCGTCGAGGCGTGGGCTCGTCGAGATCCATCGACACGTCTGCGAACTGCAAACGTCGCTGGGTATTGAGCCCCCCAGTGTCCTCCACGTCCGCTAGACGTATAGGTCGTTCTCTGTTCTTCTCTGGATCTTGTGGCGTGCTCCATGCTGAGCAGTGGGTGCTCGCAGCCTTGGTGCGCCGCTTAGAAGCCGATGCAGCTGGACTGCGAGCCGAAAAATGCGCCGTACTCAGCTGCTGCAGTGCGCGCTGGAGCTGCTGCTGCTGGTTCAGCTTGTACTGCGAGCTGTCGGTCATGTACGAGTTCCATTCGGGCTTGCGGCGCGCGCTGCGTGGCCGTGACGGCGTCGACAACGGGCTCTCATTCCACCCACGGCGCTTCATGATAAGCTCCAAATGGTGCAAAACTTGTTTTTTAAATTATTACTATTAACTTATACAGGTTTGGCTTTCTTTTCACCCGAAATAATGAATGGGTTAATTAAATTTGCCAAATCCCAAATTATAAATTTGGACAGATCAGCAAATGTTTCAAATTTGAGAGATTAATTGAAAACGATGGCGCAGTATTCGCCGCCAAAATGGGGCGAGTCGGGGCGCAACGAGTTCGGTATCTTCCTGGAAGTGATCAAGGGTGGCATGGTAGTAGAAATTTTACAGTTGCCTCGTAGTGATGGGAGCAGCTATGTTGTGGCCGGACGTATGGAGACTGTGTGCGACTTGGCACTAGCTCATCCGTCCATCTCCAGGACACATGCAGCACTGCAGTTCGACGAACAGGGTGCGCTCTTCCTTTACGATATCCACAGTACACACGGTTGCTTTGTCAACAAGAAACGTGTGCAAGCTGATGTGTATGTGCGGTTGCACATTGGAGACGTACTGGGATTCGGAGAGTCCACGCGGTTGTATGCAGTCTGCGGTCCGCCAGAGTTGTTACCTGCCGAATACGAGTCTTTGAATCTGGCTAAATTCCGAGAAAAACTAGAGAAGAAACGAGAAAAGAAGCAAGAAGAGAACGGAGCTTCGTGGGGGTTTGGAGAAGATGCAGAGGAGGAGGAGAGTGACGAAGAAGACGAGCCAGCGAAGGACCAAGCGGAGCTGCCGGACTACCTTCGAAATGTAAGAAGCGTAGTGTTTGTGGTATTATTTTTATTATTTCTTATATTAATTTTTTTTAGCTAAAGGAAGAAGATCAGCCGTACAGGTCGAGTGTGAGTCAGTCGCAGGTGAACGAGAAGGATCAGAAATTGTATCAGCAGCTGCAGACGCGTATCCGAAAGATGGAGAACCTCAAACTGGAGAAGTCGAGGATTCTGGCCAAGCAGAACCAGCTGGAAGGCTTATCTGAGGGCCAGCAACGTACTCTGGAACGGAATGACCAGCGAATTGAGGCTCTAGTGAAAGAGATCGACGGTTTGGAAGCCAGAATTCACGCCAAGAATGATCAACGGATCAAGACTGGCAGTGCGTCGCGTTCATCTGTGAGGAAGAAGCGGAATATTAGCGAGGAGCTGTACGGATACAACAGCGATGAAGACGACTTCTACGATCGAACCAAGGCCAATCAACAGAAGATTGCTGCGCGGAAGCAGAAGGTTGTAGGCTCTTCCACAACCTCAGAAACTACAGCAGTTAAGACTACCGAGAGAGAGCCACAAAGTGAGGTACTTACTGCAGACTCGATCCAAGCCAATGTCGAAAAGTTGGAGGTCGAGTTAAAAAAACTTCAGGATGAACTGAGTACTGCGACAGCTAAAGCTGCTGCGAACCGAGCTACACCAGACACCAAGGAGACTGATTCTTTGGATTCTTTCATGGCAGAAACGACGACGCAACTGCATGTGAGTGAGGTGGACATGCTAACGAAACGAAAGGGAGAGATCGAGGCAAAGTTACAGCGTCAGCGACAACTATTAGCAGTGGCAACACCAGCGATAGCCGCACTACCAATCCAGAAGCCAGCGATTAAGACAGTCGACGCATCAAGTCAGGCCGAGCCTCTTGTTATTGAGGGAGCGGAGACACGTGGACTCGGCACTGCTGAAACATTGACCATGAAGGCGGATACACTACCTGATAGTAAGCCACTTTCGGAGAAGAAATCCGCTGCCCCCGACAGTGCGCCGGCACCTTTACAGGCACCTCAAAAGACTTTAGAGAAGGAAGTACCAGCACCGAAGCGACGACGCATTTCAGGGCCGGCGATGGGGCCACCACAGCAAATGAAGAGCAAGAATGGGGAGCAACATGATGGCGACGCGAGTGTCTTAGAAGGAGGAGACCAGGTGTGGGTGCCACCAACGAATCAAAGTGGTGACGGTCGTACGAAGTTAAACGACAAGTATGGCTACTAAATCTACAACTATGAACACTATTGTCATCGTTCAATTGGAGTTTACTTTATGCATTAATTGTACTCGTAGCTCTATGCACCACGATATCTAGCGCTGCCTAGCAATTGCTCTTCTCCTTGTTGAGCTGCCATCGTGTTGAAAATGTGTTCCAGAGACGTCTCGCTCACGCCGTACTCACTCACCTGCAGCTGATCCTTGTTCTCCTCCAGCAGGCCGAAGATTGCGTAAGGCCGTAGGGAATGTTTGGGCACTTGGAAGCGGAAGTGGCTGCCTTGGTGCTCGATGAGCTGACAGTCTTGGAACTTGGACTGGAAGAACTCTCGTAGCGTAGAACCCAGGCTCTCAGTGAGCCACCACGCGCAGAAAACGTCAATAGGGATGACCCCCCACGTCTCGAGGTAGCTGTTCAGTACTCCTCCATTACTCTCCCCGTTTAGAATCTCGTTTGCACGGTTCGGAGCTCCAAGAGAGGAGCACAAAGTGGAGACTTGGTCCTGTGAAACCCCAGAGCAATTGCCGCCCAGAATGCGATACACCTCGAGCTGCAGTCTCCCCACAGACGACGCGCCTGGCTCTCGTAGCTTGACCTCAACGATGTAACCTCGTCCGAACTTGTGCTTGAGATGCTCCACACTTCCCAGACATTTCAACTTGCCACTCACCAGGATTCCCACACGCGTGCAGAGTGCTTCACATTCCTCCATACTGTGCGTTGTCAGCACCACACACGACTCTTTCGCGGCACAGACAGCGGCGATCACGTCCCACATCTTCCTCCTCGAACTCGGATCCACACCCGTCGACGGCTCATCCAGGAAAATGATGCGAGGAGAGCCAATCAGCGCGATCGCGGTCGACAATTTGCGCTTGTTGCCTCCACTCAGGCCTCGCGTCAGCTTTGTGCGGTACTCGGTGAGCCCCACTTCGTCGATCTTCTGCTCCACCGCTTGCTGGACTCTGTCGCTCGATATCCCCTTGAGTCTGGCGTACAACTCCAGCTGCTCTTCCACAGTCAACAAGTCGTGCAGCGAGTCGAACTGAGGACAGTAGCCGACCACTCTGCGTGCTTTGTCGCGATCGCGAGCCAAGTCGAAGCCTCCAAGTGTCACGAAGCCATTCGTAGGCGCGATCTCACCAGTCAAAACCTTCATCGTCGTCGACTTGCCCGCTCCATTGATGCCAAGATAGCCGAAGCATTCGCCCTTCGCAATGGAAAGACACAAGTTGTCCAGCGCCACTTTCCCTCGTCTGCCGTACTGCTGACGTAGATTCCGGATAAAGACGCTGTCGTTTTGAGTAGGAGACGCGGCGGTCTCCACTTTCTGGCGCTCGTTAGCCACATCGTCGTCCTCATTAGACACAAACGGTTGCGACCTCTGCTCTGGACGCCACGATAAGCTGCGGTTCTCCACGATAAACACCAGCAGCATAAAGACCACAATCTCGACCACTGCGTAGGCCACAGGAGCTCCAGCCACGTCAAAGTCGAACACGTTGCGCACACAGCAAGTCTCTCCACTCACGGCATCCCAGCAAGAAGTGCACGTGTAGTCCGTACCAAGTCCCACCCAAGCCCCAAAGAACGACGGTGGGGCGATCGTATCCGTCTCGCTACCGTACAGCGCACTTCGGCTGAGCTTCCGCGTCGCGATCTCGTAGATGCCATTGTTCAGACTGTAGCCTGGGAAGAGCAGGAAGAGCCACCGCAGGTAGTTTCTATCCAGCGAAGACAGTGTCAAGTTGTCTGTGGAGTTTCCCGGCGTCAAATCGAAGTCGATAAGTCGACACAAGAACGAGAAAATACTCAGCAATCCGCCTGTACACAGAGCAAACACCAGTAGAGACGTCTGTGCCACCGCATGCTTCTTGAACTTGAAAGAGAAGAGATACGCCATGGGGATCACAGCCAGCGCGTGCGAGCCAACCAGACAGACGATACCCCACACCTCCATGGAGCTCTTCAGCGTCCGGTCTGACAGCGGGACCATGACCATAGCAGCAATGACAGTGACCAGCATGAGAACGATGTCGTGTGTCCATGTCGACAGCCAATAGGCCGACACGTTGGCCCCGCAGATCAGCTGCAAGCTCTTCGCGTTCTGGTTCGGGTTCTTCTCACGCACGATGAACGCCACTATCGCAGCCGGGACGAACGCGAACGCCAGCATGACCACAACGGACGTTAAGAAAGCGTTGAGCGTAGCCTGAAGCTTCGCGCCGTCCTGATCCAGACAGTATTCGTTGTAACACGGGGCCACTGGGCTTGACGATGAGGTACCATCGCACATGTTGCACGCGTAGTACGGCGACTGCACGTTCGTCTTATCACAACAGGTCGACGCGCTGCAGTCTATCACGCCAAGCTCGCAGTAGTTGAAGCTGTAGCTGTCACACGCGCTGGGAACCGAGACCAACGAGAAGTTCGCGCTTGAGCATCGTCCTTGACGAGACACAGACGCCAGCTCTGTAGCATAGTCACTTGTAGTCATAAAACTTGCCACGTCGATCTCAGGAAGTGACACGAGAATGATCAGAAAGAGCAGAGGGATACACACTGCATTCAACAAGTTCTTCTTGTCCCTCTTCGCGATACGCACACGCTTGGTCAACAGCGCTCTGTACTGGCTCCAGAACATCGCACGGTTCGTCGATTCAGTCGAGATAGGCGTCCAACTCGGACCTGTCAAGGTCCCACGAGAGTTCGCAGACGTCGCCGACGTCTTGCGAATTTGATCCACTGTTTCAACGCCACAGACAGCTACGCCCATAGCCGCTTCTTCTTCGCGATCTTGAGAGATGCGTAAGAAGACTTCTTCTAATGTAGTGACAGATATTCCATACTGAACCACACGCAGGTTGCTCTTCTCATCATCAAGCACTTGCAGCATGGTCGAGAACACTCCGGAAGACTTGGACGGGAGCTGGAATACAACCTCCGAGCCAAAGTTGCTCAAGCACTTCGCTTCAGGCACAAAGTTGCGCAAGAACGCGCCCACCGCTTCCACGTCACATCCAGGTGCTTTGATCATAGTCAAGTTGTACCCAGCACCGTATCGATTCTTCAGGAAGAGCGAGCTACCAGCGCAGCAAAGCTGACCGTCCGCCATAATAGCAATCCTATCTCCGAGAATGTCAGCTTCGTCCATGAAGTGGGTCGTTAGAACAATGACGCGGTCGTCACGGTTCCTCTGCAGCAAGTTCCACGTGAATCGACGAGAGTATGGGTCCATGCCAGACGTGGGTTCGTCCAGGAACACCAACTTGCTGTCCCCCATGAAGGCCAAGGCCACACTGAGCTTGCGCTTCTGGCCTCCCGAGAGATTCCTCGCCGCGACCTTCCTCTTCTCCACCAGTCCAACTTCTCGTATCATCCGCCCAACTTCTTCCTTCAAGCTGGAAACGGGGATATGTTTCATCGTTCCGAACAGCAGCAAGTGCTCTTCAACTGTCAGCTCGTTGAATAGAACATCATGTTGCGGACAAATGCCCATAATCTGTCGGAGTTCGTTGAAATCTGCTTGAACGGAGCGTCCGTAGAGCGTTGCATCGCCCGAAGTCGGTGGGATCAGACCCGTCAGCATCGATATTGTCGTCGTTTTACCTGCTCCATTGTGTCCCAGCAGAGCAGAGATCTGCCCCGCATACAGTGTTAAGTTCAGTCCGTGTACAGCCACCTTCACCTCTCCGTCCTCCGCAGGGAATTCTTTACGAAGACCTCGAATCTGCAGACACGTGCCTTTCCGTTCCTGCTCTGCCAACACAGCATTGACTGGCTCCACAGAGGCCACAAGTCCAGGTCGATCCTTCATCATGACGATCGACCCATCCGACGAGGTCTGATGCAGTAGCCGCACTCCACGTGGCGATCCGAGCGAATAATGTGTCTGCGGTGACGAGTCTGTGGTCGGAGATTCCAGCACGACGACATCCTTGTTATTGCGACTTGAAGGAAGCCAGTATTCCTTCACAAAGAGGAAATGCCACGGCTTCCGAACACCAAACTCTTGTGGTAGCACGTTGTCGAAGTACCAGCCTAACGCGACCAAAATGACCGAGTCGAGAAGCAAGAACCAGCTCATCGCAAAGGCCGACGGGACCGTGACAGGAGACTCGACTATTCCCATAGCGTACGCCAGCCCTCTGCCGAGCTGAGCGCGACGTACCAGGTCGTCAATACCCAATGCAAATGCAGTGGGAGGTGCAAGCGCACCCAGATATTTGGACGAGTTGGACTTGGACATGACGGAGAAGAACGGGAAGAACAAGACGAGCCACAGCAGCACCGAAGCGATGGACGCAGCTCTGGATTTGTTAAAAAACGGCGTGATGAAGTAGCTGAAGCTCACGATGGAGACGCTCAGCGACCAGAACAGGAACACGAGCGTCGCGTACTCGGTCATTGGGAACACCTGACCGTATTTCAGTTCCGCCGCGATGGCAAACGCCAGTGGCGTGGCCAGAATCGCCGTCGTGAGACACCACGAGCTCAGTAAGGTGAAGTTTGACAGCCCCATGATCTTCATAACCTCCCGGATCCTCGTCTCCTTCTCGATAACCATCGTGGTGGTGGTAGTGGACACGAATTTGATATAACTAATCAATAGAAAGAGTCCGATGACGCTCTGGCCGCTGCTATAGAACGTCGACATGTTGGTACTCAGCGCGCCATAGTCGGTGAACTCTAAAGTGTCCAAACTGGTGCATAAAATAGTCTCGGACAGCGATGCAGCCTCCGAAGAGCTGGAGAATTCATCGCCCGTACCAAAAATTGTGTCCAGATTGGCAATAAACACGAGCGCGAGTGTCAATACCACGGGGAGCAGCAGCTCGAGCACGAAGGACACGGGTTTGCGTCGTCGGATGATGAGGTTCTTCCAGATGAGGTTGGTCACCTGTCTCCAGGCAGCTAGAGCCGCTTCCCACGTGGCTCTGCTCGCCACTGCGAACCTGGATTCGAGGGGGTCTCCCTCTAAAGCTGCAGCTTGAGCCTGTTTCTTGGCGTATATCCTGGCTGCTATCATCACGGCCATGAAGAATGCAGCGATGATGGATACACATACGATAAGCGCGGTGCTCTGGGCAGACAAGCCGCATTGTTGGCTCTCGGCTACTGTGTCTTCGATCACAGACTTACAGTAGTCGATATTGGACGACGATTGCGGACAGTTTTTGACTGTAGAGGCGGCTGCACAGCACGAACTGGACGCAGATAAGGTCGACTTAGTGCACATGAGGGTGCAAGTACCGGAGTCTACAGAGCTACTTCCGCTAGAGCCCGAGAGAAGCGACGAGATGGCGGTAGTGGCCGTCTCGAAGGGCGACGAGTCGAGCTCGAAGAAGCCTGAGTTCATGACGCACAGTGCGTAGTCGTAGTCATACGTGACGATTGTGGACAGACACGTGGTGAGAAGCTCGGTGCCATCGGAGGATGAGGAGCCTGCAGTTGACGCCGAAGACGTCAAGAGAGACGCCGCAGAGGAAGAAGATGAAGCGGCGGTTGACGCTGTGGTAGTGGACGGTGGTCCGCCGGTGGGCATCATGGTTACTAGCCCGATAACCGCTCACCCGCGTCGATTGAGAGATGAAGTGGGTGGTCGGCGTATTGAAGAGTGTGGGTACAGCGCTGCCAGCACTGCTTGGGCCATCCGGTGCTTTACTTGGCTTCGCTTGTGGACAGCACCTGTCACACACTACGGTATTGATTGTACAAAATGTTTCTAGCCACTTGTAGCTACCAAATAATAAAGGGTATTGGGTTTGAAAAACTGTATGCGTGCCAAGTTTGGGGTTAATTCTGAAACTCACATTTTACTTTTCTGAAAAATATTAAGTTTTTAAATGTTGATTTTAAGAGCAAATCGGATGTCCAGAAAGCTCACACCCAAAGGTTTGATACGCTTACGTGGTGGCCAACGGCGTTGTCACCTTTTTAAGATCATTGACGACATGCACCGCTTCAATGTGATTCACAAAACAAACACATGTATTAAATAGTATCTTCATGATAGACTTTTCAACAAGTCGTGTCCGTGCTTCTTCAAACGGACCCTCCGTTCCAACAGCGAAACCGCAAGTTGATCGTGCAACTTGAACGACAGCTGCATGACTCAAAATGGACGTGCGCGATTCTTCAGCAAATGCCCAGTCATCTTCAGGCAGATGATCGCTCAGTGAAAACCCCAGCATCCCCGTCTCGCATTGGCAGTGCCGCACTACTGCGGCACTGCTAAAAGAGAGGCACTGCCACAGGCAGTCTGCCAGTGCGTCATTTTTAGCAGGGCCCCCTGCTAAAACCAAAGTCCTCATCCTGGTGTCCTATTCGCGCAAAAATTCCTGGCGAAACTGTCCTCATCCTGGTGTCCTATTCGCGCAAAAATTCCTGCCCGTTTTTCATCTTCCTACTTAATAGCATACACATTCTACTCACCAGTCCCATTTTACCGAATTCTACAGCTCCCACCGCCGACATCCATAGCTCTGAGCGCATGTTCCGCCGGTAATAACCGTCTTCTATTGATCTCTACATGTCCTTCATCGTGTCTGCTATCTGTGCATGCTATTTTACCCATTAAGACCCCGTATCTAACGATAAATCCAATTGTATCCGCAGCCACCAGGAACTCATGAGCTTGTACTCAGCTTCCGCTCGCCGTAGCAACAGTGTAGGCAGCGACGTCAGCTCCATAACGTCACACAATGATCACCAAGTGTCCCAGAATGACTTGGCGGTACTGAAGCAAAAGTTCCAGTTCATTCGCGACGATGAGGCGGATGCTGAGCAGGGTGAGACGGACTGGCAAGTCCGCATGAGTGTACGCTACTACCGGCAACTCTTTCGCGAGTATGCCCTGGCCGATCTGTCCCGCTATAAGGAGGGCAGAATTGGACTTCGCTGGCGCACGGAGATGGAGGTCGTAGCAGGAAAAGGGCAGTTTACGTGTGGCAACAAACGCTGCGATGAGCGCACAGAGCTGCAGAGTTACGAGCTGCTATTCGCGTACGCGGAGCATGGAGAGCGGAAACGGTGCTTGGTCAAAGTGCGAGCGTGTAGTGCGTGTGCGGAGAAGCTATTCTACAAAAAGCTGATAGAAACGAGGAGAAAGGAGAGGCATAAGAAGGAAAAGAGGGAGCGGAAGCGACGGCGATTGGAGAATGGCTCGGACTCGAACCAAACCGCGAACCGACCATCAAGTTCCGGTTCAAGTAGCAGTAGGGTACGCGATGAAAGCAATGATGAACAGGATGGGGAAAGTGACCCTGGTGACGGTATCCACGACTTGTGTGCGAGGATCAATGCGGAGGAGAAGGCTGCGTACCCTGCAGCTGTATCTCGGGTGAGAGCTTCAGTGAATGAGTCAGGTAAACACCCAAGTGGGTTTGATGAACTTCTTCCTTAGCACATCTGAACGCCGATATACCTATTTGAGCTCAAGAGATCGTCAGCGTTGCTGTCTCTCTATTACTCGTAGTCTTTAAGCCAGCCCTTCTCCTTCGCCTCTTTGAACATTTCGGTGATTGCCTCGCGTTCTCCCTGGACAAGATCCGGATGCCAAACGTCAAACAGCAGCAGCACGCGGTCTCCCTCCTTTCCATTGTGCCACACCTCGTGGTCAAAGGCGTCTACCAAAGAACAAGCCGTCATGTCAATGTTAAACGGAAAACACTCTGTAGCTTCTGTGGGTCGTACCATCCAACACGAGCGCCTTGCCCTCTTCCCATTGTCGTGTTTCATCTCCAACGCGAATCCCGCAGCCTTCCGGGACGATCAGGGGAAAATGACAACGTAACCGGATATTGCATGGTGCCGAGTGAGCCTTAATACTCGACTATCAAACACAAAACGCAGCTATATCAGTTAAAACTCTAACCGTCTCTAAGCTCTTTGAAGCTCACCTCGGGCTTCAAGATGGAGAAGAACGAGTAAGCGAACGGAAGTCCAGCCATGAAGCCCGGAATATTTTCCAAGGTCTCCACTGTCTTGGGACATTGTACAGCAAAGTCTGCTTGGCGTCGGCCCTGGGTCACGTACGAGAGCCAATCCCACTCGCCCTGGTGCAGCTGGTGCTCCTTATCGTAGACCTTATAATCGCTCGCCTCAGTCGCGGCCTCAGAGCTCTTGGACAGCGCATCACGTTGCTCCTTAAGCGCCAGATATTCGTTGGTGATGGTCTCGCGGTTGGCCTCGAGCTGTTTGATCCATTCAAACTTGCAAGTGTCGTGCCACGGTGCTGACTCAAGTCCGGGGAAGCAGAAGAGCGTCGGTGACGGTCGTGGTTTCGCTGGTACAGTACGTGAAGAGTAGTGACTGTTAAGTGGCACTGCATTTAGTGCAGGTGATAAATGGTTGGGTACCTGTCGTGAGGCACAATGCCGAGCGGAGTAGTGCTGCGCGGTGGGTCATTATTATGCCGGTGGAGCTCCACGTTTTGGGATGTTGTTTGAAGGTTTCTGGAGAACACTGCTGCACGAAATATAATCGATGCGGATTGGCTAATTTGGGAGGAAACTTCAACGTAAGCCGAAGCAAAGGTTATCGTCGAGAACAAAGCAGACCGTCTTACCCCGCATATAAGGCATATGTGTTCTAAATAAAATACGGGATTCGCTCGACATCTAGCTTAAACCTCAATTTGACCACCTACCTAATTAGAACACATGTGGCTGACACCTACCGGTACTTAAAACACAAGGCTGTACCAACCAATGAGCAAACTTGTCGGTGCTGCTGTTACTCGGCTTTAATTCTCTAGAAAAAATTATTAACACAGCCATGAGTACTGAGCGACGTAGCTATAGGTAAGTACTGCTGACAAGGACAATAAGCTGGTGTCCAAATTCTCGTACACGGTTGAAAATCCTCTGAAAACGCTGTGCTTGGCTCGCTCCGGATCATATTTCGCAGTGAAAGTAGATGGATACATAATATAATACACGTGACTAGCGCTCTGGGCGCCCGCTCCGCGGACGATTGGGCATGGTTGGTTAGCGTAGCGTAGGCTGGACACCTCCGCTGCGCTGCGGTGTGCTTAGAATTTCTACTTAGAGCGAAGCTACATATAATAAAAGTATACTGTGATCTACTTATGTTACGTTCCAAAACAACACCGCACACAGTATCTATAGTGCTCACATGTTGTGGTAGACATGACCAGGGTTTATCGTGATCTGCAAGATGAGCACCATCTTACCCGGAAAGGTTTTGTTTAATACCATTTGAGCAAATAGCTACCAAAATGACACGAATCGGAGGCGCGCGTGGCTAAAGCGTTTATATATGCTGTTCAGAAGACGTGTCAGTTTCAATGATGATCCAAATTGGCATAGATCGGTGAGGGATCTCAGTTTAGCTGGAGGAAATACGCCTACTTAAACTTAATACCATCGGTCACGTCATCGCTGTGAGGCAGTCGACACCATTTTTTTTTTGCGACGGTCTATTAGAGCAAGGTTTGGTCAGCCTATCGCGCGAAGTACCTTTTAGAGCAAGTAGGTTTTGCCGATGGTTGCCACAAACACCAATATGATGCCTTGAAATTCTTCCGCTGAGCTGCTTATGATATTAGCGAAGGGTATTCCACTATCTTCCGCATGCATTGATCTTACTTGCACTTACTGACTTATTTGCAAAGCTACTGACTGACAGAGCGGCGTCGATCCTTTCCGAGTAGCAAGCTCTGATATGTATGACGAACATGCGAATCCATATCGATATAGGCAGATTATCATATCGTAGTGGTCTTTAGATTTGAATCGAATAGTAGCTCATGTACGTTAGATGCTGTACGCTCGCCACTACTTATCAGCTTGGCGTGTTGTTTGCTATGTCCGTGCATTGCTGATTTCGTAAGATCGTCGGCGCCACGCTCTCGCGGTAGCCAAAGCACATTGGGTCACTTTCGCTTTCTCGGTACTTTTGCGTCATGGTGCTGGCTTACTGTGCTTACGCGTCTAATGGAATAGCATATATGACTCAGCGCGTCACTAACTGGGCACAGGCCATACCGCAGCGATATAGGCAAGCTGGCCGCGCGTCTCTTAGCAGTAGTGCTTTATACGCGCGCGGCGGGTACACCTTGTAGTCATCCGCGACTCAACCGAGCTCATATGTCGACCATTATGGACAGGACACTAAAATACAGAGCTGCATACAGGCACATCGACCTGGAACATCCACCTGTACGGTCTGCATTACCGCACTCGTGCTCGTATCTATGTAGACAGCAACGGTTTTGTCGCACGTAGTACTCACTCGAAACTGTATTTAAATTTATGAGCGCACATTAGTGGAATATACTCTGTGAACATTGACGATACAGATAGCGTGGCTTGCCTTTGTCCAAGTGAGGGAGTGTACGTGTGACGCGTACGCAGATAGAAACGGCCAGCTTGCGGCTGTCCACAGTAGATATCATGTGCTAAATATTATTTGAAAGGCGCTACGCTGTTTAGGTGTGTCAACAATACTGACTGCGCCATAGGCTGACTACCATATGTGCGACCCCGAGCCTCGCCCGGTCAGCCAGTATACTAAATACGAAGATAGGAAGGAGAGTGGGGGTCTAAAAGGGTATATTTACCAACTACTTGCTCTTCTGCTGCTTCTTTCGCTCAATGTACCTGACGTTTCGGGCGGTCAGCTTGCGAGGGCGTGTACCTGACGTTTCGGGCGGTCAGCTTGCGAGGGCGGTTGTGTCTATTTTTCTTCTTGAGGTACCAGTCAGGGCCCATCACCTTCTCGACGTTTGGCAGGCTTTCCTGGCGGCGCACTTCGGCCGAATCAGGTGGTGGGAGCTTTTCCTCCTAGAACTTAACCGCTTTTGGGCCGTTCTTGCAGGCAATACAGTGTCGCACGCTGCCCCGTCCGCTGATTGTACGGAACGCGTAGCCGTACTGCAGCTTCCCGCAGCAGACGCAGCGCGCTCAAGGGTCCATCGTAGACCGCTGCGGGTTCAGCAGAAGCGGGTCAATCTTCGCCTCGCATTGCTTGCACGTAGGGCCCACCATTTTGCAAACTGTGCGTATGTTAGCAAAATACTTTGTTTTAACCAATTACTTGCGTCCAAATATTAGCCAATAGCACGGTACTGTAAGGCTGGTTGTTATTATTAGGCAAAATATTAAAATGTTTTTAAATATTACTATTTGGCTTAGCTTTAATATATTATTATCAGATTTCCAAACAAATACATACTTTACATGCAATATAAATTGACTAAAACAATTAGTCTATCGTGCGCGCATGCATTCGTCGGGTACGGTGCACGGGAGCAGATACCGCAATGACCGTGCAGCCGCGCGCCTTCATTGCACGGTGGCAGTGGTGAGTGCCAGGTGAAGCAAAAAGATATATATTCGCAAAGTCCCTACAAAAAGCGCTGGTCATGAAGCCTACTTTAGTATTGAAAAATACCATCGTCTCTACTTTAGAAAGTCTGTGGAAAATAGCATCGCCGAGCTCTTACAAATGCGGTCTGTGAAGCTTATATTAGTAATATTAATACTATTAATATTGTCTTTACTTTGAAAAGTGTGTGGAAAATAATATCCCTGCGCTCTTACAAAATACTGGTCTGTGAAGTCTACATTAATAATAATAAATATCTCTATTTGCAGAGCTCTTAGAAAATAAAGTGGTTACTGTGCCCGATTTGCAGTACATACGACAGGTTTTGCGTAGCTAAATGTCAATATTCAAGTATCTGCGCAGCTCGCCTGGCTGTTTGCAACCAATCGATGCCTTTCGTGTTCGGCAGAAATGTTTATCTTACGTCCAATCGCGAGGGCGAGAGACGGTCTGATCGTGCGACAGATTCAGTCAGTGTCGCAGGTCGGCAGGTGTTGCCCAATCAGGGCGCGAGTTAATTGCGTCACGCTTTTGGATATATTTGTAATTTTGGCATAGTTAAGTCGAGTCAGAAAGGTAGGCGCGGTCGGTAAGATAGGACGAAAATATATTAGACAGGCCGGGTGTAGCCATGCGAAAAGGCAGGAAAAAGCAGCAAGAAAGGAACCGGACGGACTTATTGACAGACGGACGGACAGGCTGCAAGTTTAGGTGGCTTCCCGCAGCAGACGCAGCGCGCTCAAGGGTCCATCGTAGACCGCTGCGGGTTCAGCAGAAGCGGGTCAATCTTCGCCTCGCATTGCTTGCACGTAGGGCCCACCATTTTGCAAACTGTGCGTATGTTAGCAAAATACTTTGTTTTAACCAATTACTTGCGTCCAAATATTAGCCAATAGCACGGTACTGTAAGGCTGGTTGTTATTATTAGGCAAAATATTAAAATGTTTTTAAATATTACTATTTGGCTTAGCTTTAATATATTATTATCAGATTTCCAAACAAATACATACTTTACATGCAATATAAATTGACTAAAACAATTATCTATCGTGCGCGCATGCATTCGTCGGGTACGGTGCACGGGAGCAGATACCGCAATGACCGTGCAGCCGCGCGCCTTCATTGCACGGTGGCAGTGGTGAGTGCCAGGTGAAGCAAAAAGATATATATTCGCAAAGTCCCTACAAAAAGCGCTGGTCATGAAGCCTACTTTAGTATTAAAAAATACCATCGTCTCTACTTTAGAAAGTCTGTGGAAAATAGCATCGCCGAGCTCTTACAAATGCGGTCTGTGAAGCTTATATTAGTAATATTAATACTATTAATATTGTCTTTACTTTGAAAAGTGTGTGGAAAATAATATCCCTGCGCTCTTACAAAATACTGGTCTGTGAAGTCTACATTAATAATAATAAATATCTCTATTTGCAGAGCTCTTAGAAAATAAAGTGGTTACTGTGCCCGATTTGCAGTACATACGACAGGTTTTGCGTAGCTAAATGTCAATATTCAAGTATCTGCGCAGCTCGCCTGGCTGTTTGCAACCAATCGATGCCTTTCGTGTTCGACAGAAATGTTTATCTTACGTCCAATCGCGAGGGCGAGAGACGGTCTGATCGTGCGACAGATTCAGTCAGTGTCGCAGGTCGGCAGGTGTTGCCCAATCAGGGCGCGAGTTAATTGCGTCACGCTTTTGGATATATTTGTAATTTTGGCATAGTTAAGTTGAGTCAGAAAGGTAGGCGCGGTCGGTAAGATAGGACGAAAATATATTAGACAGGCCGGGTGTAGCCCATGCGAAAAGGCAGGAAAAAGCAGCAAGAAAGGAACCGGACGGACTTATTGACAGACGGACGGACAGGCTGCAAGTTTAGGTGGCTTCCCGCAGCAGACGCAGCGCGCTCGGGGGTCCATCGTAGACCGCTGCGGGTTCAGCAGAAGCGGGTCAATCATCGCCTCGCATTGCTTGCACGTAGGGCCCACCATTTTGCAAACTGTGCGTATGTTAGCAAAATACTTTGTTTTAACCAATTACTTGCGTCCAAATATTAGCCAAT